ACAACAGACTTTGCACTCCTCCAGTTCAGCCAACCAACTTTAATTATTCTAATAGCATCCCCATCTGTATCACCATCACTTTGAGCAATAGACCTACTAGCTACTACTATTAAAATTACATTCCATGTATTCAGTTTTATTTCTACTCAAACGAAGGTCTTTAAACTCCAATGTAGATCTTCGTGATTTAAGTTTTTCCTAAGCTTTCTCTATATTTTTATCCACGAGAAGGATATCAACAACGAAAAGCATACAGCGAGGTATCCTCTTGTAAAAGTCCAGTATGAACATCCATAACTAAAACAAAGATATGAGCTTAAAGCCAATCCCTAATTTAGTCCAACTTAAATAAGAAGATATTTGGTCAATCCTCCTGGTCAATCTTGGTCAATCCTCCTTTTGTTCGAACACAAGTAGCAGCTCTAGTATACATATCTTTAATGACTTGAATATAAGTCATATCAACGTCTTTCTTCTCTATAACTCTCCAAAGGCTATCTCTTGCAACCTTATCATAAGCTTTTCAAAAATTAATTGAAAAGCTTACAATAAGGTTTTTAAGTTATTTAGTTTATATTGATTCAAAAATTAATTCATGTACAAAATTAATTCAAAAATTAATTGAATAAAGTAAATTAATTCAAAAATTAATTTATTTTAGTCTTATATAGATACAAGTTCAAAATTAAATTAATTTAAATTTACAAAATATGTTTTTAAATTAAAATGTTATTCAAAGAGAAGTTTTACCGATAGTTCAATCAATATTGATAGATTTTTACTATGATTTAATGTTAACTATAACAAAAATTTTAGTAATTAAATTTAAGTGGGAATGACTAACTTGAACTCAATATTTGCTCACCATGTATGATACAAATTTTTATATAATTTAAAAAATAAATAAAACAATTTTTAGATACGATAAATGGAGGCAACTCGATTGGAAGTCGGCTTCAAATCGGTAAATTTTAGACTTGAAAGTGATTCTGATCGAAGCTAACATATTTAATCTCATGTTAGGACATGCTTGTTTTAAACTTAATATGATATTTGGCAGCATGATGCAAGTTATGTTTGAATATGACTAAAAGTAAATCTCGAAATTAAAGCTATGCAAATCAAATTATGTCTTCTATTTTTCCGATAGCTTTTTTTTTCTGTTCTTTTTAGTCATTTTGATTTCTCTATTAGTTTTAATATTTGTCAAACCATATCACAGTCCATTTTTTAAGCAACAAGGCTATTGCTTTGACAATTCGTCAGTCTCCTTACTCTTTACCAGCTTCATGCTAACTGTCCTCCATTGCACTACCTCATTCATTGCTTCCAGCACCTCTGACTCTCACATTGCCCATGTCACCACTATTTTCTTGTTGTTTCCCTCCTTTACCTCTTATGTTTGTTTTCCAAAGTTGTTGAGATCCGTGTTGTACTATGCACGTGATCAGCACTCCCTTCTCTTCATCTTTGCTCGCATCATCAACCATGTACTCCTTTCTTTCGGCCTCTTGTCGCCCCTGTTTAGCACTTCAATATCAACAAACACCTATTTCTCTTCTTTAATACAAAATCTATACTTTGAGACCGTAATTAATCTGCTTCTTTCCTACCAACTCACCTCTCTGAGTTCTTCCCCTTGGCTGAGAACAATCATAGTGATGCCAACCTCATCCTCTCCAAAAGCTTTGAAGTTGTTGAACCGCTTCTGCCCTAGAACGGCATTATCGGAGTAGAAGATGCTTGTGAATCATAAGGTGGCAACAATCTGTCCTGGGATCACATGCTCAGATGCAGAGCCAATATAATCACCTAGGCACTGCTTTTCTTTCAATTTTTTTCTTATCACGCAAGCACAATACACGAGGGTGACATACGGCGAAGTTGATGTCATACAACAACATCTACAACAAGACTTTTTCCCACTAAGTGGGCTCGGCTACATGATTCGTTTTTTTTCTCCAGTGCATCCTATTGAGTGTCATATTTTAATTTAAATCTAATAGATTAAGATCATTTTTTACACAAGACGCCCATGTCTTTTACATAAGATCATTTTTTACACAAGACGCCCATGTCTTTTTTAAGTCTATCTCTGCTTTTCTTAGCATAAGTCAAAACTAAAACATCTACTCTCATAACCGGATCATCAGATAGTTCACGTTTAATGTGACCTAACCATCTAAGAAGACTATCTCTAAACTGTCCTCCACTGAAGCTGCACCAATGCTATCACAAAATACTTAAGAAGTTGATGTCATGGAAGGGGATTATTGCGGTGGTGTTACCATAATAGAAGGAAATTTACTGGAGCAATAGCGCTGTTAGCAAAGATACGTGGCAGAGTAACTAATGTAGTTCTGCTGTCTTTTGAATTTTTACTATTTTTTTTAGCTTGGTGCATACAGTTGATGGTGAAAAATAAGAAGCCTTTATTTTCTGGTCCTCATCTCTTTTCTATATATGTCTATATTATATGAAAATTACATTTAAAATCAAACAAATTCAAACTATGATGTGTTCCTAAAATCCTGTTATTTAACTAAATGAAAAGAAGATTGAACAAAAGGATCTAATTTGATAATATATTTTAATATAAAAAGATGAATAGAAATATAATTTATGTGCTAGCTATATTTGAGTTCAATATGAAAATGTCCCTGAAATAGCTGATACAGTGAATTTATTTATTTTTCTTAATGTGGGATACAGTGAATTTACTTGAGATTTATTTACGATTTTTAGAAATAGATGAACAAAATAGCTAGTCTTTATCTATGATTTAGTGTAAGCATATAATGTGGAAATTCATGATGACAATCAATTAAGAGCTGATAATTCTTTCTTAAAGCTCTTTGTAGAACTTTTGAGTTTTTCCTTTTGTTAGATTGTCTTTATCCCGCTAGGATGAAGGGAAGCAATTAGCTTAGAATTTTCCCTCAGTCCCTTTATTTTTTTTTTTTACTCTCATTCGTACACTTTCTTTCCTCTCCTAGATCCTTGTAGGTGCCAGCTAACAGCAAATTTGATAAAGAAGGATTTACATTGAAAGTTAATGTATTTTTATATCTAACATCTAAATCTTTATAAGTAATTATAGACATCCTATTATTTAAATCATATAAAAGAAACCTCTTAACATTAGCTCATCAAAGGTAAAATGCATCGTTTCATCATATATTTTGATAGTATTTAGACATTAGTGTGTTATACAAGCAAATATAGTACATTAGAACTTTTTGGTATGTATATAGTTTTTTTTTTTTTTTTGAAAGATTGAATCAGTGGTTACCAATTTAAAAAAAAAAAAAAAGATGAATGGATGAGGATTTTAGTCATTTATTTTCAAAAAGAAATGCTTTTCTCAAATTATGCACGGAAGAGTTAAAATTCCAGGAGGATGATGTTGTGGAGTGTTGATTTTCAGAGTTTATCGGAATTATATTATTGATATGAAAAGGAGGTATAAATACCTTTACATGAATCATAGAATAGGAAAGACAAGAACAATGAAATAACATGAACGGAAAGATATAACACCTATATTTCTAATTAATCAATTTATAATAATTACTTGGAGATAGAGGAAACGGCATAAAATCACAAAGTCTAAAATAGGAAAGAAAGTAGCGAGAAGGAATAAAGAATACGACTGAGATTAACGGAGGAGCGGGAAATAGGAAGTGTCGGGCAGCAAATCTTTTTCTCCACCGTTAGACACTCTAAGGTTTTTTTTCAAGGCTTTGATGCCATGTTGATTTTCAGAGTTCAGCGGAATTGTATTATTAATATGAAAAGGGGTATAAATACTCCTACATGAATTCTAAAATAGGAAAGATAACAAAAAAGAAATAACATGAAAGGAAAGATATAACACATTTATTTCCAATTAATCAATTCATAATAATTACTTGGAGATAAAGGAAATGATATAAAATAGGAAAAGAAATAAATCCAATCCAACGAAATAAATCTAAATTAGGAAAGAAAATAAATTCAATTCAAGGAAATAAATCCAATCCTCATAAACTCTAATAGGAATAAATTAAACCCTATTATAACTTCTGACATGAAGGATAACCTATGAGCTTTGTTGGAGCTGAGTAATGGAAATAAAGGAACATTATTTGACAAGGAAACTCAACAATAAATATTCCATTAATTGTTTGGTTCAATAGGATGTTTCATGTTACAGAGTAGGGCATTCATTTAGGTGCAGTTTGGCATCACTTTTCATTTCTGTTTTTAATTTATTATTATTTATTTATTTAATTTGTTTGTGTTGACTTAAAACTAAACATGTTTGGTGTGGTATAACATGTTTAGTTGCTTTTAAAAACACTCAAGATAATATTTTGAGTGTAGTAAATGATAAAAGCATGCAAAAAATACAATGAAGAAACATATTTTTAAAATAAAAGATAAAACAAAAATAAAATATAAAAATCAAAAGTGATCCGAAACAAGCTATTAGAATTTGTGTTCGTACTTCAAACTTGGAAACAAGCTATTAGAATTTGTGTTCGTACTACAAACTTGTCTTCAAATATGTTAAGGATCGTTATCATACAAAATATAGTGTTAGATGTGGTGTCTTTGAGATTTCTAGCATCGTGCTTGTTTTTCTTTTTTTATCTTATAGCTGAATATCATTTTTGTTAGAAGTTTGAATAAAATACTTATATTTGTTTAACTGGCATATAATTAGTATGTTTATGGAGTTGCATATATTAATATTCGTTGATAGACAATTCTTGGCTCATAGTAAATGACAATTAAGAATAGGGAAGAATGCAAAAAATGCCAAATCAGTATTTGTTGAAACATAAAATCATCACCTTTGACGTACTACCCCCCACCTCTTTCTTATATTAAGAAACATATCAGACATTTTCATAATGCAAAAAAAAAGATTTTGATCATTTAATTGCACTGATATTTTTTTCAATTTCTCCATAAAATAGTTTTGTTTGTTGACGTTATTGGTGTGATATATGCAGGTTCATGCCGTTTCTAATCCTTTCTGGACAGTTATGCCCTCCTGGTATTGAAGGGACATTGTTTGCTCTTTTTATGTCCATAAACAATCTTGGCTCCTCAGTGGGCTCGTTCTATGGAGCTGCTCTTGCTTCCCTTTTGGATGTTTCTTATAGTTCTTTTCATAATCTTCTCTATGGTCTGCTCATTCAACTATTCTCCACCTTCATTCCTATTGGATTGTTGTTTTTGATTCCAAAGGAAGCCACAGGTTTAGCATCATAGAAATTGTAGTTAAAGTGCCACCGCCTCTTTCTGCCCGTCACTCCATGTTTTTTAGATAGAGAAAAATGATTAGTATTTGAATACTTAAATGTGACCCTTTTTCTTTTCTTTTTTTTTATACACAAAAAGGGATTGATTATTTCATATTTCAACAGGATGAGAGCATGGTCACATCTCGAAATTAGAGTTTTCTTCACCAATGTCTGATACAGGAAAATACGACCAACTTTTGTAACAAAATATAACAAATTATAACACTTCTCTAAGTCGTGATTTTGCCTATAGACTGATAATACTTTTTTTTTCTTTTGGCTTAATATTTACCTTTATATGAACAAATTAAGCTGGTGGAGATGAATTGTTATGTAAAGAGTATGCGTTGGATCTATTAGTAAGACTAGGTAGTATGTTTAAATTCTAGCATTAAATAATAAGTATGTGATGGTTGTCTCTTATTGGAAGTACTACTTGAAGAGGGAGTGACAATAATAGTTACTTACATAACTAAAGAATAAATATTGCATTCATTGTTTGGTTCAATAGGATGTTTCATGTTACAGAATAGGGTATTCATTTAGGGACAGTTTGGCATCACTTTTCATTTTTGTTTTTAATTTATTATTATTTATTTATTTAATTTGTTTGTGTTGACTTAAAACTAAACATGTTTGGTGTGATATAACATGTTTAGTTGCTTTTTAAAACACTCAAAAAATATTTTGAGTGTAGTTAATTTGTTTTTAAAAATAAATGATAAAGCATGCAAAAAATACAATGAAGAAATGTATTTTTAAAATAAAAGCTAAAACAAAAATACAATATAAAAATCATAAGTGATCCCAAACAAGCTATTAGAATTTGTGTTCATACTACAAGCTTATCTTCAAATATGTTAAGGATCATTATCATACAAAATATGGTGTCTTTGAGATCGCCAACGCCGTGTTTGTTTTTCTTTTTAGATCTTATAGCTGAATATCATTTCTGTTAGAAGTTTGAATGGAAATACTTATATTTGTTTATATGTCATATAATTAATATGTTTATGGGGTTGCGTATATTAATATTCGTTGATAGACAATTCTTGGCTCATATTACATGACAATTAAGAATAAGTAAGAATGCAAAAAAATGCCAAATCAACATTTGTTGAAACATAAAATCATCACCTTTTACTGTTCTACCCCCCTCTCTTTCTTATATTGAGAAACATACCAGACATTTTCATAATACAAAAAAAGATTTTGATCATTTAATTGCACTGATATATTTTTGCAATTTCTCCATAAAATAGTTTTGTTTGTTGACGCTATTGGTGTGATATATACAGGTTCATGTCGTTTCTATTCCTTTCTGGACAACTATGCCCTCCTGGTATTGAAGGGACTCTGTTTGCTCTTTTTATGTACATAAACAATCTTGGCTCCTCAGTGGGCTTGTTCTATGGAGCTGCTCTTGCTTCCCTTTTGGATGTTTCTTATAGCTCTTTTCATAATCTTCTTTATGGCCTTCTCATTCAACCAATCTCCACTTTCATTCCTATTGGATTGTTGTTTTTGATTGCAAAGGAAGCCACAGGTTTAGCATCATAGAAATTGTAGGTAAAGTTCCACCGCCGCTTTCTGCCCAACACTCCATTTTCTTAGACAGAGAAAAATGATTAATATTTGAATACTTAAATCTGAACCATTTTTTTTTCTATACACAAAATATACACAAAAAGGGATTGATTAAGGGATTGATTATTTCATATTTCAACAGGATGAGAGCATGGTCACATGTCGGAATTAAAGTTTTCTTCACCAATGTTTGATACAGGAAAATAAGACCAACTTTTGTAACAAAATATAACAAGTTATAACACTTGTCTAAGTCGTGATTTTGCCTACAGACTGATAATACTTTTTTTTTTCTTTTGGCTTAATATTTACCTTTTTATGAACAAATTAAGCTGTTGGAGATGAATTTTTATGTAAAGGTACGTGTTGGATCTATTAGTAACACTAGGTAGTATGTATAAATTCTAGCATTAAATAATAAGTATGTGATGGTTGTCTCTTGTTGGAAGTACTACTTGAAGAGGGAGTGACAATATTAGTTACTTCCATAACTCAATAATAACTATTGCATTCATTGTTTGGTTCAATAGGATGTTTCATGTTACAGAGTAGGGCATTCATTTAGGTGCAGTTTGGCATCACTTTTCATTTCTGTTTTTTATTTATTATTTATTATTTATTTAATTTGTTTGTGTTGACTTAAAACTAAACATGTTTGGTGTGGTATAACATGTTAGTTGCTTTTAAAAACACAATGCTGACGACCTCAAAGACCACATCTAACACCATATTTTGTATGATAATGATCCTTACATATTTGAAGACAAGCTTGTAGTATGAACACAAATTCTAATAGCTTGTTTGGGATCACTTCTGATTTTTATATTTTTTTTTTTTAGCTTTTATTTTGAAAATACGTTTCGTCATTGTATAATTTTAAGTATGGGCATTCATTTAGGTGCAGTTTGGCATCACTTTTCATTTCTATTTTTTATTTATTTAATTTGTTTGTATTGACTTAAAACTAAACATGTTTGGTGTGGTATAAAATGTTAGTTGCTTTTAAAAACACTCAAAATATTATTTTGAGTGTAGTTAATTTGGTTTTAAAAATAAATTATAAAAGCATGCAAAAAATACAATGAAGAAACATATTTTTAAAATAAAAGCTAAAACACAAATAAAATATAAAAATCAGAAGTGATCCCAAACAAGCTATTAGAATTTGTGTTCATACTACAAGCTTGTCTTCAAATATGTAAGGATCATTATCATACAAAATATGGTGTTAGATGTGGTCTTTGAGGTCGTCAGCATTGTCTTTGTTTTTCTTTTTTTATCATATAGCTAAATATCATTTCTGTTAGAAGTTTGAATAAAAATACTTATATTTTTTTATGTGTCATATAATTAATATGTTTATGGAGTTGCATATATTAATATTCGTTGATAGACAATTCTTAGCTCATATTAAATAACAATTAAGAATAGGGAAGAATGAAAAAAATGCCAAATAAGTATTTGTTGAAACATAAACTCATCACCTTTGACTGTACTACCCCCTCCTATACTACCCCCCACCTCTTTCTTATATTAAGAAACATATCAGACATTTTCATAATGCAAAAAAAAAGATTTTGATCATTTAATTGCACTGTTTGATCATTTAATTTCACTGATATTTTTTTCAATTTCTCCATAAAATAGTTTTGTTTGTTGACACTATTGATGTGATATATACAGGTTTATGTCGTTTCTAATCCTTCCTGGACAGCTATGCTCTCCCGGTATTGAAGGGACTGTTTGCTCTTTTTATGTCCATAAACAATCTTGGCTCCTCAGTGGGCTCGTTCTATGGAGCTGCTCTTGCTTCCCTTTTGGATGTTTCTTATAGTTCTTTTCATAATCTTCTCTATGGTCTGCTCATTCAACTATTCTCCACCTTCATTCCTATTGGATTGTTTTTTTTTTTATTCCAAAGAAAGCCGCAGGTTTAGCATCATAGAAATTGTAGGTAAAGTGCCACCGCTGCTTTCTGCCCGTCACTCCATTTTTTTAGACAGAAAAATGATTAATTTTTTAATACTTAAATCTGACCCTTTTTTCTATACACAAAAAGGGATTGATTTTTTCATATTTCAACAGGATGATATCATGGTCACATGTTTGAATTAGAGTTTTCTTCACCAATGTATGATACAGGAAAATGCAACCAATTTTTGTAACAAAATATAAAAAATTATAGCACTTCTCTAAGTCATGATTTTGCCTACGGATTGATAATGCCTTTTTTTTTTCTTTTGGCTTAATATTTACCATTTTATGAACAAATTAAGCTGGTGGAGATGAATTTTTATGTAAATAGTATGTGTTGGATCTATTAGTAACACTAAGTAGTATGTATAAATTCTAGCATTAAATAATAAGTATGTGATGGTTGTCTCTTGTTGGAAGTACTACTTGAAGAGGGGGTGACAATAATAGTTTCTTCCATAACTTGAGCCTTGTATAGCGAAGACCTTAGACCGAATTCAAATAGTGATTGGAGTTAGCCAGCTGATGTAGCAAGACAGCTCGACCGCTCATTTAAAATTTTGACTTGGTAGTCAAATGCAGCAAACTCAATGACGAATTCTTCCAAAATTATACTAACCTCACCAACTCACCTTAGGGAAATAGAAGCATTATTGAAGATAACATAGAAGTGGAATCATTTGAGTGAGGATTAGTTGTGAAGGAGAGACCTCATGAGTTTATAATAACACAAAAAAAATTATTATTATGTTATGCAATGTTTCTCAAAACAATTTGTCTATAAATAAGAATGACAACTATAGATAAATTTAAGATTTTTCATGAATATTTAAGACACTTAGTACTTATATTTTTTGTTCTCTAGGCTCACTTTCCTTTTTGGCTATTTGCTTTGTGGTGTGAATTCACAAATAAATCAAGATCCAACATCCTAAAATGTACGATGAGTGTGGATAATATTACAAACAAGAAGAGAAGTTGCCCAAAGTGTTGAACCAAGTAATAATTAATAAAGAAGTTTCATTTCACATGGAGTCAATTAAAAAATTGTTAATATAATAGATAAACGAGCTTAGAGAGCAAATGATGATGGAGATAAGCGCAAATTTGGAACATTTTTTAATATTAGTACAACCGATGCAACCACTCTTTATTTCTCTAGAATTACCAATTTAGCAGGAGAAAGCATTTGTTGATGAGGCATGAAGAATTCTACCATCTACCATGGCAAGAAAAGATGAAGCATATTACCCTGATAACATTAATTCCTCTCCTGATTAATAGAGACATAAAATGAGAAAAAGTCAAGAGGAGAGATCCACTGAAGAATGCATTTTTTATGGAGATCACTAAGGTATAAAGCACTAGAGAGATTCAAGATTCCCTCTTAGAATTCTTACAAGGGTAGATCTAACCCCGCTTACCATATAATCTCATTGGAGTCAGCAGTTTGCCTTATAAGAATAAATTATACTTCAAAATATCACTTATTTTCTTTCACTCTATTGGTTTAACAACCTGCCAATAGAAGTGATTCTCTCTTTTGTTCAAGCACATGTTTGCCGCACAATTCACCAGTACATAGAAACTACATGAGAGTTTCCATAAGTATCATTGAGGTGCTTC